CCTGCCTCGAGCTCAGCTGCGGACATAGGTCGGTTGACGACAACTCCTTCCGAAGAGGCTCGAAGGTCTGCTTCAAGCATGTCTGCCTCCTCGTCATCCGACTCCGGCATACTGGGTGCATCTGCGTAGACCCGCTCAGTGAGATGCTCCGAAGCATTGTGCGTTTTGACCAGGTGCCAAACGCCAGGCCCTGGATTCATCTGGTTTCAGGGCACCTCGTCTAATGAGGAGGATCACGTCGTGGACGATCTTCATAAGTCTGGTAAGTTCGGGGGAGACACACCTGGGGATCGACATGATGTCCTAACAGACGCCGATCGGCGAGGCTCACCACCGTGCTTTTGGCTGTCCAGGACAAGACTGTACACTTAAGGCTGTGTGTACCGACAGTAGCAACCCGCGTCGCCCGTGCTCATGGCTCTGTCAAGCCAGCGGTTAGAGGACTCGGACCACGCAGGAATGGCAGGGCGAAGACTCAAACCAAAACGATTGCGAGCATCAAGCCAGACCTCGGCCCAATTCGCCTCTGCAAAGAACCTCCCCAACGAACACATCGGAAGAAGCTGTGACCTGCGTGCTGCGGCAGGCGCGGTTTTCCAGTGGGAGCTTTCGGCTTCAACCAAGCAAATGCCATTGACAGTTGTAACCTGAAGGTCGGCCAAGCCACGCTGAGTCGCCGAAGCGTGAACCGGCGCCCAAACAGAAAAGCAAGTGCCCCGCGATGACCTTCCAATGTGCATATGGAGCGTGGAGCACTACGTATTCTAACGCTTTCACCTGTTTGACTCCAATTTTCATCGCCTGCTGCAAGGGTCTCTTCCCTTGGGACAGCTTGAGGGCAAGACCTTTAACACGGCCTGAGACAGCTCGGAGCGCGGCAGGGTTCTTGAATTGCAACGTTCCGGCAGCAAAATTCCAAGCCTGCAAGAAAGAAGAACCTGATGTTGGCTTGCTATGCGCCTCGAGGTGCTGGAGAAACAAGTACAATGTGCTCTCACTGGCAGTAAGGGGATTCCCAAGAGGAGGCTCTCTTAACTAGCGTGGATGTAGCCTTGGAAGCAAAGACATCCCCGAAGCTCCTGGCAATTTGCTGGTCCTCTCTCAGAAGAGAGGCTTCCCCTAGGAGAATGCAACCCTGCTCGGTGACGTCAGGCTCCAACATTACCAGCACCCTGAACTTCCTTAACGCCTCCAACCTTGCCGAGTCGTCCGTCTTTAACAGAGCGACGATTTGGAGTCGCTTCTTTGCAAAATCTGGCACCTGCTTAGGCGCCGGCACAGAGTATCGCACGCCAGTGGACTGAGGCGGCTCTCGGTCGTAGGGCATAGGCACACGAACACCCTGGCGCTGCTTCCCAAAAACTAGAGCAAGGGACCTCTTTCCCAAGGCAAAACCATTTTAGACACACGACGATCCTTCAAAGCTTCGTTCCAGGCGAAATCCTGATCAAAACTGCCCTGGCGTCCAAAACGGGCGTATCACTCTCGCCACTAACAACCTTGCTGTAAAATGCATCAGGGGACTGAAGGATTGAACTGGCAGAACTTGAATGCAGTGCTGAGCCGGCAGGGCTCCCCGACACCCCTTGTGAAGAAGAAGCCACGGCCGGGCTCACTGAGAGTGCTGTAACAATGACACACAAAGGGTCCACTTGAATGCAAATCAATCAAGGGTCTCTAGGAAAGGAAAAGATGCTGCCAAGCACGTGAAGAAGAGTCGAAGCAACTGTGCAAGATTGGGAAGACGTGGCCCAAGAGGCCCAAAGCCAAGCGACTCTCTTAACATGAACCTCAAGCCGAAAGTCGCCCAAACTGACTGAAAGTTCCCAAGCAAAACGAAAGAGAGCTCTGTCACAATCCTGCTCGTCGGTCGCAGGCTCACCTGCAAGACTGCTCATCCACTGGGCACCCAGGCACCAGTTTGCACGAGGCTCTAGCAGCCGAACGTCCGAGGGCCACGGTTGAAAGATGAAACCTGTTCGGGTCTGAACGCCAGTTTAATGACCTACTTTGACTGCTCTGTGCAGGTTCGAGCCATACTGACGGCACAGAATTCTTTCTGCGCATCGAGTATGCGCCATGTAAAAACTTCATACCAAACAGTCACTTCCATGAATGAAAACACGCTCTACACATGGCTCCGTTTTTGGAACATTCTGTCAACACAGTTAAAACATGAAACCACTTGCAGTTTTGCGTCGCTGTTGCAGCGACTATAAATCAAAAGACAACATTATCACGTTCCGTGAAATAGTCAAACGCAAATTTAACAAATCTGGATTTGAGAGAGGCGTATCTTAGGGCGAGCTCAAGGTGACTTTAAGGGGGACCTCTGTGAAAAATGCAGAGCTCTTTTTCACTCCACGCTTGAGCCAAAACACACAAGGTGTTCGGCTTTCTCGCAGAGTCAGCGCAGCTGAGTTCCAACTTTGTTGAACAAAAGAGGAACACATGCAAACGTCCTAATGCTTCTCAGGACTTGCTTCAGCAAAACCAACACAAACACTCCAGTGCACAGCCACTCTGCTCGAACCTAAGTACGACGACACGACCGAAGCGAGGGTTGGCCAAGGTCTGAAGAGCAAACTCAGAGCAACACGCACTTCTTCAAGGATGCCCTAAAGCATCTAGTGCTTCTCTGCTCATCATGCACACTTCAAGCAACTCTAAACAAGCTCAAAGCAAACTTAAACCTTGCTGCTGAAAGGAACTCGTGGGCGGTGCCGTGTTGAGCAGAAGAGCGGTTCTTCTGATCCGGGAATGGACCCCGGAGTCCCGCAGCAGAATCCGCAACGGTGGCCTGAAGGTCAAGTTCAGCATATAATCACCGTTACTATCACCACACAGCGCCTGAGAGTTGCTCTTGGCTTTGCCACCTTTGTCACCTTTGCCTTTGCTCTTATCGGTCCTACCACCCTTATCACCCTTGCCTTGCCCTTACCACCCTTGTCTCTGCCCCTACCACCTTTATACTTGCCTCTACCGCCTTTGACAACACGATCGACGTCCATCGACGCAACATCGCCGGAATCATGAAGGCCTTTGTTGCCCTCCTGCAGCCCATAACTGGATTTGCCTTGAGACGATCTGTTCTTGAGACTTGTAATCTTACTTTAAGATCTTTGTTTCTTATTTAAAACATTGACTTATTTGAAACACTTTCCGATTTACTTGGAAGTGCTTTAAATGAGTTGTTTCGAAATGCGCATTACTGTATTGTCGAGATCTTGGACTGGGCTCTGTTTTGCCCACGTTTGACTGCTCACGAGTCTTAGTGTTAAGAACCTGGCAGGCACACCCAACACTTTAATTTGTGAAACGTTTCTTGCTTGCTGGATCGTTCATTTTACGCATTTAGAGCTGTGCATGATTTCTCAAGTAAGATTCAAGCATTTTTGTCAATTGGCTTTCGCCGCTGCCATTGCGGCAAAGCAGCCTGAAGAAGTCTGGCGATCTACCGTGTTGCGTCCCAGGTCATCAAGTATCTGCCCGCGGCTAACCTCTCAATGATACATATCATGATTTGGCGGTTGGACATTGTGCTGTCGACTTCTGGGTGGATCCGCCCGTTATGTTCTCGTCTTCTCTCAGAACAATGAGGACCGGCCCGACACCGATACCGAGCAGGGCGGCCGGAAATGGTACCAGGGCATGGAGGATGTTGAACGCCGTCTCACGATTAAACCCCGGAGCTGGCGGGTGCGGGTGAACCATTTGATTTGGTTCGGGTTGTCCCACGACATGGTGGTCAAGTACCGGCGGGCCATTTCGCTTTTTTGAAAATTTCTCTTCAATGAATCTTTTAATTTTGTCTTGTTTGCCTTGTGTCACATTTCTCAAACTGTCTTTTTTTTTTTTTTTTAAAATTGAAAAATCTGTGACTGTCCTTCACATTGGCTGAAGGGGGCGAGGCTGTCGCCCCCTTGAGCCGATGTGAGGGAGGGAGGGAAATGACCCTGAAGAGGAGGAGGTTGGGCGACGCAGGAACTCTCGCATTTTTTTTGGAAAATCTGTATTGAAGATGTTACTTGATTTGCCTTGGATTGTTGACGTTTGGCATGATTGGTAATTGCATGGCTCAGATTTTTTCTTGGACAATTTTTGGTTTTGAGCAATGGCAAGAACACTTGCAGGAAGCAATTCAAAGCAATCTGCAATTTCTGCACGCTGGCAAGGTGGCAGAATGGTCGAGACAGACGATTTCGTGACTTTCCGAAAGCAAAGTCTCAGCCAAGATTGACGAAGAAACGTCAACCTGGAGCGCGTGCAGAAGATGATCAAAGAACTCCATCAGGTTGATCAAGCAGCATCATCATCGCAGGCACCAAGATTGAAAGTGCGCAAGGACTTGAAAGTCAAAGAGAAGGCAACGCCGAAAACCCAAGCCAAGGCAACGCCGAAGGCCAAGTACACACGGGATCGAAGTGCAAATCAGCGCCGAGGAAGAACAGCAACTTTGTCAAGATCATCTCTTAAAGAGCGTTTCTCTCTTGATGGTCTGCTCACTTCCAGCCCTTCAGAATTGACAGAAATCTGCATTGATTTTGGAATTTTGGAGAGGAAGAAGGGCACGTGTGCATGCGGTGAAGAAGCTTGGAAGCTGGAAAGTCGAGATATGTACTGCAACTGGCGGTGTCGCAAGTGCAGAAAATGTCAGACTGTGACCAATGAAGCTTCAGATCTCTTCGCTGTGAAACTGCCCTTGCGAAGCTTGCTGGGTTCGTTGTGGATTTTTTGTGCTCCCTTGGGTCTTTCCCCTGACAAAGCCGGATTGGTGTTGGGAATTGATCATCGATCCACCAGAACCTTGTTTTCTTCTTTCTGTTAGACTGTATAGCCTGTCTTTCCCCCCAGTTGTGTAGAGTAGGCTGTAGGGAGGTAAGAAGTGTAGGCCAAACAACTGTTTTGCCTGAAGTCTCACATGGCCCCTGCAGCAAGGACTGACACACACAAAGCGAGACATGCAAAGCCCTTTTGCTGAGAAAGAGGTGTAGATTTTCATGGTAGCGGAGCCGAGCGATCCAAAGAGGTTGCCGGCGTCCGAAAGGAGATCAAGCCCAAACCCGTAGTGTCCTGCCCTGCCCGAACCCAAGCCTTTCTCGAGCAATAGTGCTGCTGGGCGATCTGCTGGACAGACTTGGAAGGGCCAAGCGAACTTTGGTGCTGCTGGCGGAAGTTAGTGGCGGCCTCCTGGAGCAGCTGTGGGCTGCTGGGCGAAGGACTTGTTTCACTTCGACCCGATCCTGGACTCCCTGGAGAAGCAGAGGCTTCTGAACGGCGACTTGGTGAATCGTGCGAAGTTTGTGATCGCGGATTGGTTGGTGGAGAAAGAAGGCCGAGTGCCAGGGCCAGAGCTTTGGCTCCGCCCCGCACTCTGGAAGGATGGCTCAAGCGAGAGCTGTTTCTGAGGCTGCTCAGGCAGCTGAAAGGGCCACAGCCGCTGCAGAGGCGGTGATGAGGAGCGCCAACGAGCAGAGGCGACTGGAGTCTTTGTCAAGGATCATCCAGAAACCCGACATGTACAAGCCGGAGACGAGGGAGCAGGAGATCGACCAATGGATGGAATGGAGGCATGTGATGCGAAACTACTTGGGCGTCGTGGACCACCAGTTTCTGGAGGAGCTGGATGTCTTTGAGGGCAATGCTTCGAATGAGGTTGTCCTCAGCACACTGAACGACGGCGCCAAGATGAGAAGCCGAGAGCTCTACGCCATCTTGCAAAGCTTTGTTCGCAACCGCCCGGCGAAGATTGTTCGGAATGTCGGCCAGTCCAATGGCTATGAGGCATGGAGATTGCTGATGGTCGAGATGCAACCCAAGACGAGACAAAGACAGCTGGCCTTGATGACCCAGCTGAACTCCATGACCTTTGACCCGAGGAAGTCCCTGAACGAGCAGCTCGGAAAGTATGAGGAGGTTATTCGGGAGTGCGAGCGCATTAGTGGCACGACCTACCCCGAGGACCTGAAGGTGTCAACTTTGGTGAGTGCAGCTCCTTCCGTTCTACAAGTTCAGCTGCACATGTCCCTCAGTAGTGACACCACCTACCACGACTTGAAGGAGAAGGTGCTTTCGTACGAGCGATCGACTACCAAATGGCAGGCAGCCAATGGTCTTCAATTTCCTGCTGTACATCAACAAGAAGATGGACCTGTGCCCATGGAGATTGACAAGGTGACCTACCCTGATGGTGGCAAGAAGGGAAAGAAAGGCGACAAGGGCAAGACGAAGAAAGGCAAGGACAAGTCCAAGGGCAAGAAGGGCAAGATGAAGGATGCAGATGGGAAGGCGAACAAGCCGAAGGGCAATTGCCACACATGTGGCAAGCCAGGGCACTATTCCCGAGAGTGCTGGTGGAACACTGGAGGTGCTGGAGGTGCTGGCAGTGGAAAAGGTGGCAAGGATAAGAACCGGAAAAAGGTGAACCAGGTCCAAGCCGAAGCCCAGAGTTCAGAAGCCACTTCCAGCAACCCAACGGCAACGGCTTCGTCAAGTACACAGGCAGTTCGGCAAATTCGACTTCGCACCCCACCTTTGACGAGTACGACCGAGATCTTCGACATCTCCGAAGAGGCCTTGTTTGACTTGGACCAGGAGTACCACATCAACGATCTCGGCGGACGAGGTGGTGGTGGATTGGAAAAGCCATCCCCCGACTGCAATCGTACTAGACACCGGAGCTGATGCCAGCATGGTGCCCTATGACTACGCTGCGCTTGGAGTCGAAGGAGATGGAGCACCGCCTAACCTCTTGGATGCCCAGAAAAACCCCATCGCGACCCAGGCCAACAGGAAGTTTGACTTCTGGTTCAAGAGCAAAGATGGCCAGGAGTTCGCCGTGAGAGAACAATGTGTAGTGGGAAATGTCAAGCAACCGCTCCTAGCGGTGGGAAAACTCCTTCGCAAAGGGTGGCAGCTCGTACATCACGGAGGCACCTTGACCTTGCAAGAACCATTTGGTCGTGGGGCGCCTGTCGGCTTCAAACATAACAGCTTGGTGGCTGCCGGCCACATCCGTTCGGTACAAGTCGTCAACGCTCTCACAGAAGTGCCGAAGAGTATGCCCCCGACAACACCCAAGCTTGAGAAGTTCCCCGAAGAGATCCAGAAGTTGGTGGGCAAGATGGGCATGCACAGCTTACCTGAGCGAGGATGGAAGGTTCACTTTGAAAGTAAGGCAACCCATCTATTGGACCCGAGAACGTGGTATGATCCTGATCTTTATCGTGCACGAACTACCTGGATGCAAACTTTGAAAGGCCTCTGGATCCAAGTGGAGAACTCCGAAGACTACTCGAGCGAGTTCAGACCCTATGCACGCATTTGCGATGAGCCTCGTCCCCGACTTACTTTCGTGTCGATGGACAGCTTTGGTGAAGGATGCTTTGGTGGAGTTGGAATGCCGCCGAAGAGAAGCTGTCGTTTGGAGAACGAGATCGAGGTCGAGGACGAAGTGATGGAAGATGCTTTGAATGCAGCCGAGACACCCCTTCAGGAGGCGCCGAGCTCTTCCAGTGGGCGAGCCGAAGTCAGAGGCCACCAACAAGCCGCGACTGCAAAGGAAGTCATCCAGGACATGTATCTCGAGGAGGTTGCCGCCGACAAAGCTGAGAGAGCAGCAAAAGAGTCGATGGCCCGACAGCCCAATATGATGCCAAGATCGGACCCGGAACCGACTGAAGATGAGAAGAAGAAGCACCAGGTGACCCACATGCCCTATGCCAGCTGGTGCAGTGCATGTGTCAAGACGAGAGCGAGAGGAGACAAGCACAGCGAAAGAAAGGACCAGAAGCACATCCCAGTGATCCAGGTCGACTTCTTCTTCACTGTTGTGGATCCTGAAGGCCGGCCCTTAGAGGGACAGCAAGATGAACAGACATGCTCATTGGTGGCCGCCGATCTGGATGCGAGAATGGTGTTGTCGGTGCCTGGACCGAACAAGGGCAAGCAGTCCTTAAGGAAATACGTGGAGGACCTGGTGAAGTTCAGCATTGCCCTCCACGAAGACGATGGCATCATTCTTCAAAGCGATGGAGAACCTGCAATCAAAGCAGTAGTGAGGGTAGCGACTGAAGCTCGAGCGAAGATGGGGCGGCGAACGGTGCAGAGAACAACGCCAGTGCAAGACCATGCAGCTAATGGAGCGGCAGAGCGAGCAGTGCAAACCGTCCGCCGACTTGGGAACTGCCTCATGGAAGCGGTGGAGGAGATCCACGGCAAACAACCTGTTGGGTCCGACCTTCGTGTTTGGGCCCAAGGACATGCAGCTTTCCTCTACAACAGGTTCCACGTCCTTCAGAACTTCCAGAAGACACCGTATGAGCTGGCGTTCGGAGGACAGCCCTACAAAGGAAAGTTGTGCACCTTCGGCGAGACCGTCTTTGGAAAACTTGTCACCCCCTACAAGGCCCTACAAAGGAGGAGCGCAGTGGTGCACTGGCATTTGGGCTGGTGTGAATCCACACAACGGGGCCCACCACATCCTCACCGAGAATGGCGCGATTGAGTCGAATGCGGTGAGGGTTTCTGCCGAACAGCTTGACGTCGCGAAGTTCAAAGGCCTGCCCTGGGAGACCAAAGCCGTGGTGATCAAGATCAAGAAGCGAGTGGCACCGCCGGAGCCACTTATGGTTGAGGTTGGTCCAAAGCCTTTGTCTTCTGCAGAGGCAGGGGCTACGCCAACAGGTGACGCAGACGCGACGCATCTGGGCGGCGCAGCTGCGGCGCAACTCGGAGGCGCAACTGTTGCTCGACCCGACGGACCCGGTGATGAAGCGGCCAGCGACCCACCGAGCAGTGAAAGCGAGGAACTGATGGCAGAGAGACCGCAAGCGAGTTCGCCGAGCAGGTCGAGCAAGCGCAGGGCCGAGGAAGACGTGGAGAAGCTCACCGAGAAGCTCACCGAGGAGGTGCTGGATGAGATCAGCAAGGACAAGGACCAAGTGGAGTTCTTTAAGAAGCTGCGCAAAGAGAGAATGGAGAGAGAAAAGGGTGAAAAGAGGAAGAGTGAAGATGCCGAACTTGCTCCTCGTGATCTAGAAGGACACATCCGCCAGATCCAGACGGTGGATTCCGAATGGTATGATGGAGATGAGCTTTGGGAGACAGAGAATCACGATACCGACTTCTATGAGTCCGACCACGACGCGACCTACCACAAGCACAACACCTTGGACAGACCGAAGGGAGACACTCCCCCAGAGGTGGACGAGGAGACCCTGAACCACCTAGATGACCTCGCCGAGCTCCAGGAGATCGAGAGGCTGGAAAAGATGTCCGTCTTGGTGGATGTGTGCCCGGAGGAGGATGCAGAATGGTTGTCTACGACCTTTGTCAAAACATGGAAGGCCGAGGCAAAGGGCGAGGATGTCACCACCTGGTGGCGACGCGCCCGGCTGGTGGCACGTCAGTATCGACACTTCAACGAGTTCGAGCCGGAAGACACCTTTTCTCCGGCCTCTACGAGTTCCCTGCTGAGACTGCTCCCGGTCGTGGCCCAAACTTGGCATACCCCGATATGGATCATCGACGTGAAGGACGCGTATCTCAACGTTCCTCAGCCCAAAGAATCGCCTGTCATCGTCACTCCGGACTCTTACGTCAGGAAGTATGGACCCAAGACCTGGAAGCTGGCCCGAGTACTTCCCTGGACAAAGAAGGGGATCTCAGGAGTGGTATCTCTTTCTCAACAGCGACCTGAAGGAGCTGGGCATGGAGGCGATGATCGAGGTCCCGACCTTGTACAGGGCAGTCAACAAGGAAGAAAGGCGTGCTGCGCAAGTACATGTGGACGACGCGATGGTGACGGGAGATGCCCAACAAGTTGAACCTTTCCTGGAGAAGTTGGGCAAGAAGGGCCATTTGGGCCCGGAGAAGCATTTGAGTTCCTGCGGCGACGATTCCAGGTGGAGTGGAATGGAAGCATTACAGTGCGGCCTGCTGCCCATTTCTACAACGACATCTACGAGCTCTTGGAGAGACCCAAGTTGAGGAGCACACCTGGACCTGCCGGAGGAGACATGTTTGCCGAGGACGCCAGCGAAGAGATGGCAGACGGCAAGCTGTATAGAACCATTGTGGGCAAGCTTCTCTACATTTCGGGAGAGCGACCTGATGCACAGGTGGTCATACAGTACCTGGCGGCAAAGGCCAGCAGGCCAACCGTGACCGCTACGAAAATCCTCAAGCATCTGGTGGGCTACCTGAAGGCGACGGAAGGGCAAGGCATCAACCTGAAGTGCGAGAAAGGAGAGTCCATCATGCGAGATGGCGACCCCGAAAGCCATAGCTATCAACCCCATCATTTGGTCGAGGCCGTCTCCGACAGCAACTTCGCCAACGACCGTACCACCAGGAAGTCCCTGTCCTCAGGCCACATCTACTTGAACAAGTGCCTGATGTTCTCGTTCGTCCGAGGACAGAAAGTGGTGACGTTGAGCTCTGGGGAAGCAGAGCTGGTGGCATTGACGCAGACAGTGGGCGAGAGTATCCTGGTGAAGAAGGCCTGGGAGTTCCTGACCAGGGAGGAGACCTGGCATTTGGCCAGGACAGACTCTTCCGTAGCTCGGGCCATAGCTACGCGACTTGGCGTGGGCAAAGTTCGACATTTACAAACCTCGTGCCTTTGGTTGCAACAGTGGATTGCGAGAAAAGAATTGAGGATGGCCGCGATTCCAACATCCAAGAACCCGACCGATTGTGGTACCAAAATTCTTCCAGGATCGAGGTTAAAGTACCTGAGCTTCATCATGAATCTGGTGGATGGAAAGAGCAACAGGATTGGAACTGAGGAGCACCGGAAGGAGGCGATGACATTATCCCCGAACCTGATCCGAGCCATCCAAGCGGTGATGGCCATGAGCTTGCAAGGATGCATTGGAGGCAACGATGATCAGATGGTAGACATGTGGACCTACGTGTTCATCTTCGCCAACTACTTCGAGCCCATCGTGAACAACCCGATTTTCGGCTACGGCATCATGATCATGCTCCTCTTGGTGATGTGCATGCTTGGTGCGAATTGGAAAGTGGAAGTAAGAGTCAGCTCCAAAGGAGCAGACTCGAAGCATGAGACAAAGGAAGGGCTTGAGCCCGGCTACGAAGATGGACGAAAAGGCCCTGGAACCACGAGCGAACGACCATCGAGTTCTACATCTTCTGGGCCCACGATCAACATAGTGCTCAACACTCAAGACCATGGAACCATAGTCGAACGACCATCGAGTTCTACATCTTCTGGGCCTGTACTATATCGTAAAGTACCTGGAGTCCCTGGCGATCGTGAACAACGAGCTGACCCACCGGGAGAAGTAGATCAGCTACTCGAACGTGCAGAGTCTCTTCAACGACAGCAGCAAGAACGAGTACAAGCACATCCGCCGTCAAGGGATCCACAGGGCATTGTGTATGGCAAAGTGAATCGAAGCCGGCGAGTGGCAGTGGCCACAGCGTATGGATACAGCTTCCACGAGGCCAACTGTTCGAGCATCACGAAGGACGCCAAGCAGAGCCGGATGATGACAGTGGAAGAAGCTTTGCTTTTGGGCAAAGCACCGTGCCAAAGGTGCCTGCAGCCCATCTTCGATGAGCTGAAGCAGCTGAACCCCAACAACAAAGTGTTCGATGGACAGCGGAAGCGGAAGTGAACATGACGGCTGGAAGTTTCCGTGGTAGAGTGCAGAGTGCTGAGTACAGACAGAGCTACACTTTTGACAGTTGGACATTAGCATGTTCAACTGAGGGGGCGTGTTAGACTGTATAGCCTGTCTTTCCCCCCAGTTGTGTAGAGTAGGCTGTAGGGAGGTAAGAAGTGTAGGCCAAACAACTGTTTTGCCTGAAGTCTCACATGGCCCCTGCAGCAAGGACTGACACACACAAAGCGAGACATGCAAAGCCCTTTTGCTGAGAAAGAGGTGTAGATTTTCACTTTCCGAAAGTTCTTGACTCCGATCATCGACAGGCTGAACAACACGATGCAGATTGGTGGTGTGGGACAAGACATTGAACTTGACGAGATCAGTTTTCGAAGCAAGGCAGTGGGCAATCGCGTGGTGTGGATCCGGTACCTGGCGATTGCACGTCGGGGCAGCAGTAAGGTTTGGCTTGCGCCTCTTCCATATCGGATTTCTGAAGGCGGTCAAGGAGGAGGTGGTCCGATCAGCTTGGACGAGTTAAGGGAAGCTTTTCTGATGCCAGACGGTAGCAGTCGCATTGCCCCAGGTTCCGTTTGCCACACGGACAGCGCTCGCACCTACAAACAGCTCGGAACTATGGACAGCCCTTTGTTTGACAGGGAGGTCTTCCATTCCGAGTTTGAGTCTTTGCATCTGGCCCACACGGCTGTGCGACACAAGCCCCCAAAGCCAGAGTTTGCGAAAACCTTCAATGTCAAAGTTTGGAACGGTGCCACGTGGGTCATGCAAGAGCGTGTGGGTGGCACTCAGAAGCTGGACGGCTTTTTCGCCAGCTTCAGACGTGAAGTCGGCCGCAAGCCGTTCAACACGTCAGGTCCCACATTGGAAAGTGCGGACAAGATGGAGCAGCATTTGCACGAGCGCATGAGGTGCTTCCAGTTGGCTTTTTGGCTGTCAGGCAATGACCTTTTTCAAGTCTTTGGAGCCCTTCGTGCTGCGAAACTTGCTGCAGGTGCATCGTGGGAAACTTTGAAGGAGTTCCTCCCAGATCGTGCTGCTTCATCTGAGGACCGTGCAGACGAGGAAAGAATGCCATGCTACAACATTGACAGCGAGTCGGAGGCCATGAGTGCCCTTTTCGAAGAAGACGACTGACAAAGTCCAAACGTCATCCTCAATATTTCGCAAGCGTTTTAACCTGTCAATAGCAGTACGCTTTGCAAAGACTACCTCGCAGTCCTTGCCATGCAAAACGGTCCCTTTGCGTCTGAATGTGTTAGGGTTGCGCGGTTTTGAAGGAGCCTTCAGGTTGCCGGGCCAGGTTTTCAAGGGTGTGAGGCTGCGGGTGGTTGTTTTGGGGTCTTGGGGCACAGCTCTTTGGCCAGGGTTCAGGCGGCCTTGTAGGGCATTCTTTGCACGCTACCCTTTATATGCGCGGCGCCGTGCGCGGTTGGCGCCATACTTCCAGCGTCGCCTTCTTATTATGCGCGGCGCCGCGCGCGGCTGCTGATTTTCCTTCTGCCGCGCACGGCGCCGCGCCCTTCGGGCGCGGCGCAACTCTTTCTTTTTGTTAATTTTTAACCGCGCGCCACGCCGCGCCCGGCTTTTTTTGCTCTCTGGTGTGATGCCGCATTCAGGGAATTGTTGTGCTGTACTTTCTGGGGACTCGACTGGGGACTCCTTGTGCCTAGCAGGCACAGACGGGTCGGGACGTTCCGAAGAAGTGCCTTTGCACGCATGTAGAACTCTTCATGTGCTGCTTGTTCGCCACGGCTTGTTCGACGTGGTTGGCGCGTCTTTTCGCGATGAGAGTGAGTTCCCTGACATCGTGAGAAACGCTACGACAGCTGGACCTCGTGAGATCCGCCCCGGTGAGCTTTGGGTTTCGTGCCTGGAGCAGCTTTAGATGCGTGTTTTGCATGTTCCTGGACAAACCAGGAATACGGGTGACCCCCGGGGCCTAAACCCTAACTTTAACCTCTTACGGGCCGCCAGTTACAGAAGCTTTGATGTCGCGTGCTTGACGTGACGCGGCTTTGATCGCACAGACCTAACCGACGTGCCGGGGGTCTTCAAAGTCTCCAGCCTTGCCACAAGAGAATCCTGCGCTGTCACGATGATATGCTGCCAACCGTTCTCTGTTCGAGCAGCCGGCTTGTCTCGTTTCAGCAGTTGCTCAAAGTGAAGCTCAGCCACCCGATTCCGAATGTCCTCAAGAGAAGCAACACTGGCAGCCGTTGCTGCTGCAAGCAATCCGCGGCTCGACGCCGCGATATGGCAGGATCCTAAACTCGCTGTGACCCTGAACCCCAAAGCAGAAGGGAGCTGAAAGCTCAATGGCCCCTGAACGCGAGACCCAAAAGTGAACCACGTGTGTCGGAACTGGGTCGGCCCAGCTCCGCTACCATGAAAAACCAAGCGGACTTTTCCACTACTCTTAGAGCCTGGTGGTTCAGCGGAGTTCTGCAATTCACAACATGTTCTCATGAAATTGGGCTCATGCCAAAATCAAGCGAAAACATCTTTTCCTATACATGAGGTGTGTACAAAGGGCAGGGGTGTTAGGTCCTGTTAGGTTTCCTCAAGGAGGCTAACCCCAAAATCCCTCACACCCTTCCAAGCGAGCTCGTTGTGGCGGTCAAGCTGTTTTCGGCCTGGCTGCCGAGCGTGATGTGCGACATCTGTACGGAAGTCGCTGACACGTGGATCTTTGCCGAGGAAGTGTGGGCATTTGCGCATCGCTGTTTGAAGGGTTCTCATTTGAAGGACGTTTTTCGTGATTTTGCAGTGGACGACGTTTGTGACGTGGCTGTTCCCGAAGAGACAGTCCGGAGCGTGGTTTTTCCTGAGCAAGAGCACGATCTGTTTGACAAGGATCTTGAAGCTTTTCAGGTGTCACTCAGCTCCAATCAGCCCTCCGGATCTTCGTTCAGGAGGTTGCAGGCTGCGTCCGAGCAGCCGATTGATTTGCTTGTGCCCGAGTCCAGCCGTGCGTCCATCTTTCATCGGTCTTTGAAAAGTGGCGAGGCCGCCATTGAGATTGATTGATTGCATTGCTCAGCTGTTCGAACAATGGCACATTTACCTGGAACAGGACTTGATGACGAGACAGGTGAGGAGTTGACTGGGCCAAGTGTCCCAGCGGCTCCCTCGAACCCTTTTGCCGCCGGCAGTCCCTCGAGTGCAGGCGGGGCACTGACCATGAGTGCCACCGATCTTCAGATCCTGATGCAACGCATGGCTGAAGCCACACAGGCTGCAAGTGCAGGCAGCCGCCTACTCTTCTACCGCCAGCGGAACTCTCCACGAACCGTCGGGTGCGCGGCGCTTCCTGCTGCTGGGCGACTTCCGGCAGCTGCCCGCCGTGCAGGACACCTTCGGCGGCTCGCAGGTGCTGCGCTCACTGAAGGAGTCGCAGCTGCTGCACGACCTGGCGGGCGGCTGCGTGCACGAGCTCACGGAGAACCAGCGCAGCGACGAGGCGATCTTCCGCTTCCTGCAGTGGCTGCGGGTGGACGAGCCGCAGCAGCCGCCGCTGCGGGAGGCTGTGCAGGCGGCGCGGCAGCGCTTCCTGCGGCGGGGCCACCCCGACACCTGCCTCGTCATATATCCCACGCCCACAGGATGGCCATCAACGAGCGAGAGAACCGGCGGCTCGCGCCGGAGGGCGCTGCTGCTGGAGCACCGGGCGCAGGGGCCTGCGGGCACCAACCAGCCGCAGACGATGCGCGTCTGGCCCCGGACTGAGGCTCGTGGATGCGGGCGGCAGGGTCGCCAAGGGCTGCTTTGCCACGGTGCGGAGGTGGGGGAGCGGATCTTGCTGGACGACGGGCAGAGCTTCGCGCCCGCGGAGCTGCTTCGGCACACGCCTTGTCACGTGGTCTCGTACGCCTCCTGCACACGAACATCAACCCACAGCTGAACTCATCACAATTCCATTGGGACAATGGCTCTCCAACCGTATGAGAGTTCTATGGGTGTAAGCCTTGGGTGGCCCCCCGGTGCCGGGTTTCTTAGCCATAGGAAGCAAGACTTGGGGATCTAAGTCTAACTTTTACGATGCGCGGACAGCAGCTGTACAAAACTGACACCGGTCCGCGTTCAAGCTCAGCAAAACTGTGGAAAACACGCAAGCTGCCTCTGGTCTGCCTTCAAGCCAAGCTCGGAAACTACAACAAGCATTCATTTCTTCTCAGCGCATCTGCAAAGTCAGAGGTACGATGTCCAGCGTTGCAGCCGCTCTCTCTTAGGAAGATGTCCCCCAACCCCCCTACAACACAGCTGAGAGGATCGAGGATCTGTGTTTGAGGAGTGTGGTTCTAGGAGACGCTAAAATGCATCAGAGTGCAGTTTCAGGTCTCACAGAAGCATCGCTGCAGCTGATTTTAAGGCTCGAACATTTGCTCGTAATCGGAATTGCAACAGGATGCAGTTCTGAGACTGCGGAGTTGTAGAGTTCCACGCTGTTTCACTCCACAACTCCGCAGCCTCAGAACTGCATCCTGTTGCGATTCCGATTACGAGCAAATGTTCGGGCCTTAAAATCGGCTGCAGCGATGCTTCTGTGACCTGAAACTGCACTCTGATGCATTTCAGCGTTGAAAGCTCCTTGAACCACACTCCTCAAACACAGATCCTCGATCCTCTCAGCTGTGTTGTCGGGAGTTGGAGAACATCTCCCTAAGAGAGAGGTGCCCTTTTTTTGCAGTTATGATGCTTTGTGTGATGCGACAAAATGCTTTCATGGTGCGACAAGAATTCATGATGCGGCAAAGATGCGGCAAAAATGTTTCATGATGCGGCGATGTGGCAAAAATATTCCACAGAAGGCTGCGCAGGCTTGGGTGGCGTCAATGACGTCCGCCCAGATTGCTTCTCAAGTTTGGAAGCGTCTGCCGGGGTCTGGCCCCCTGGGGCTCTGGGCGCTGGGGGCAACTCTGGGCCTTGCGTGGGCGAAGCAGGCAGCGAGTGGGCGAGAGTGTCCAGCATATCAGCCGGGACAGGCTACCTGT